TGTGAAGACGTTATTTGGATTAAACTGGATCAGGGTATGGTTCAGTCATGTAGACTCTAATGAAATTCGGGTTGCAAAAGGCAGTGAATTTCTTATCCAGCTTAATATCAGGTTAAGGGAAGATAATGAATCCAATTCAGTTATTAATGTTCTATGAAATCGTGTAATTTATACACATTTTACCACACTTAACGTCTAAATAATCTTGACTGACGATACGGACGTAAAATTAATTGGAATGAAGGGGACTTACGTCACTCTTGTGTTACTTCGTTGGAGAGTAAATGCCAACCGGAGACGGGCCAGAGCAGAGGAGGGAAATAACAAAACGTTACAAGATAACATTAAACAGTGATTTCTCCAAGTATTATGTTCTCTAACACAGTGGAAATGCAGATTACACGAGAAGGGACGCTAGGCTTAACGAAAAGGCTGCAGCAATTAATAAAGTAGCTGACATTCAATCATTCTTGCTGGTCGCTTCGTCGCTGTTACATACCTTAAAGACAGAGGGTTGTAGAAGTTACCGCCATTATGATGTATGACATTATCAGAAGTGGTAATATTTATATCATTACAAATTGGTTAGTTCAAAAAAATAAAATATATAAAATATGTTAAAATCTATCGCGTCCATGACTTCTCCCTAACTAACGTTATTTCGACGTCTGAAAATATAAATAATTAATTAGAAGAAAGGAATTTGAAACACTTTTCTTCTTCCATTCAGTCCCTACCGCATAATAGCAATGCCATTACAGACGGCCCCTTACACGCCATTTTCGGATTATTATATACGAACATCCGCTATTTATATTAAGTTTAAATGCAATGATTGGATGAAAGCTAGGAACTTTTGGGTTTCCGTAGCAACAACTTTTGGATCAGAGTGGCAGCGCGATCTAAGGCCTAAACTGTCTTCTCTCTCTCGAACACTGGGATCGTGTGTTTTAATCCCACTCAAGTCACGGATGTCTGTGTGCGTTTATTCTGTGTTTGTGTTGTCCTGTGTGTAGGTAGCGGCCTTGCGTCGGGCTTATCCCCTGTCCAAAGATTCCTACCGACTGTGTATAGTCTGAGTAATAAAGATAATAAAATAATAATAATAAAAATCTAAGTAATGACGATAATAAAAATAATAATTTGCTAGTGGTGATAAATTAAAATATATGCATTTACAATGATAAAACATATACATATATTATAATGTCAAATGAGAAAGTAATGATAATAATGGAAGTCCATCGGAAGAAAATATATTAATGCAGAAGTGAACAAACAAAATAAAGATGAAGATAAATACACAAAGATCACAATAACTAAAAGCCACATAACACAAGAGTATCAGAAATACAGCTAAATCAGCTAAAAGATTTATTTTAGATAGAAGATTATTAAAAATGATTGACAGACACCGCTCCGATTTGCAAATATGTTGAGATTTTTACCCATCAAGTTGGCAAAATAAACGTACCGAGCAGAAGAACAGTGTTTATTAGAGGGGCAAACACTAAACACTGAGAAGTCCCTAAGAAAAACGAGTAGGAACACTAAGACTAACATTTTAGAAGTGAAAAGTGCAGGATTTAAGACCTCGACAGACCTGAACAAAAAAATATGTGCATCAAGGTGATGTCTCCACTTACATAAAAAATGCATGCTTAATTTCTCTAAAACAAAAGTATAACTATAAGGAACATGAGGGTAAAATCGACAAAAACACACAGAAGAAAACTTCTGTTGGATTCGCTCAAGCTTGATGGCACCGGTAGACGTGATAGAATTCCAAACAGCCGAGGCATATTCAAACCTGGACTTGAGTAAAGTAAATTATAGCATATATAGACAAACCGGGGAGAACAATCAGAAGGTTATGGAGCGAATATGACCTAACAGCTTTATGCCTTCATTAAATATGAAATAAGCAGTATTGCGAAAATATCATTTTGAATGAAGCAAACACTTAGGTCATTATTACTGTTTGTGAGTGAAATGGCATCGTGACAAATCTGATACTAGTAGCTAAGAACATTTGTCTTCATGGAAACAAATTGGAATACAATAAAAGTTCTGTCTTCTGTAATACGTATATGGAAGTGTAGTCCGGTGAAAGTCAACTGATTTTTCGGAGGAATATACTGCCTTCATCTTCAGGTCGAAGATTCGCCCATGCAAGAAACAAGCATGAAACAAGAAGCAAGTAGAAGAGGACGACATATTCCTCCAAAACGTCTGTCCACTTTCATAGGACTACCTGGGGTTGTATCCCAGAACACAAAACTCATCAAAGCCACGGCTGTGAGAATCCCAAGTCCAGCACAAGAATAAATGAGACGTGAGTTTAAAATTCACTGTAAAATATTTCTTCGCAGAAGGCCTGTCTACACTTATTTCATACTGTCCTTGAAGGTTGTTAAGAATTCTTAACTGATATCAGCATACAACTGCATTAATATAATCTTTATATTCAATCACAGACTTACTCCTACATCATATTTCATTAATTAGTGTCGATATATCTACAAAATTCTTATAATAGCAAAGATTTTGTAGCCTATATTCGTCTAAATCCCATAGCTGATTATTATAACAGCATTTTAACGTTGGTGTTTCTTTGAAAATAAACCTCTCTTGCTTTTACTTGCATTTCTTGTTATAAGAAACAGCTCCTTCTGGAATCAGATAACCTATAACAAACAGGATTTCTGTAATAATATTTTCAGCTTACTGTTGATCTCAACGGGTGGTGTTACGTTCGTCGTACAAAAAATGAATTTGTACAGAGGATAGTTGATCACAGAACACTGAAGACTCAGTCAGACTTAAAATCAGGGATGAAGAGAAATTCAAAGAGACTATGGACCAGAATGAAAAAGATGACAAACCTACAGAAGAAGAGTGTGAAATGATAATGATAGAGACAAGTACAAACATGAAACAGATTATAGCAATGAAGTGGTAATTTTATGATTCTCGTGATAAAGTAAAAGAAAGATGATTATAATATAAGTATAATGAAGGAGAAGGAGAAGAAGTTTATGATAATTGTTATTATTAAGGAGAGACATGAATCCTTTGGAACCCTAAAGACATTCACTAGTATGTATTTCGGGATGCAGGACTGTGCAGGACAGAGATACGTTAAGATACTACAAGCTTATCACAAGACACTGGCTTCGTGCTGCGCTAAGGAAACATATCTCACGAAAATAGCAAAACAAGGAAGCAAATTTGCTGACATTCGTTCATAATGCAGCAATAACAACCACTCAGTAGCCCCTTTCTTACGTAATGCAAACTAAGTCAGTACAAGAATATTATTATTACTATTTCAACCCCCTAGGGTGTAATAAAGCGCCCTATTATGTGACAACGATTGTGTGAAAGGGTGTGGATGCAGAGTGGTAGATTTATATAAGGCATGGGGATGTTGGAGAAATGGGTTGCAGGAAATAGGGGAAATCCTACAAGAAGGAATTGTAAGTTAACCCAAAATAACGGGACCCTTTATACTCTCAGAAAAATGTGAATATGGCAGTGATCTGGACTACATTTGAAGGACAAGGTTCATTCCCATTACTGGACAAATAAGTTAAATTCCAAATTAAGATCCTGCGAATAAATTAACACCAGCATTAAAATACGGCTACTCAACTTTCATGGAATTTTCGTCACCATTTTCAAATATGACTGTCACTTAGCCTTCTCTTCAGCCAGTTGCATTAATTCCACAATAAACAGCTTCAGTCTTACAATTACAGGCCACTGACTTACACCAGAATTTCTGATGTGGTCTTTTACATTTATCAACCCTACTGATAACCCGCAAGGAGCCGGGATAGCCTAGTCGGTATAGCGACTGACTACTGACTAGACGACCAAGGGATCGCGGTTCGAGTTCTGATAGGGTCAAAAATTTTCTCTTCTCCACGTCATCCAGACCGGCTCTGGCGCCCAGCCAGCCCCCTATCAAATGGATAAGGGGGGCTTTTTCCCCTGTGGTAAAGCAGTAAGGGCGGGCAGCTGACCACTCACCTCCAACTTGGTACCGAGATCAAGAAAACGTGGATCTATACATCCACTACTCCTTACACCTTCATGGCCTAGTGCTTAATTAGTTAAGCACGGGGACAGCTTTACTTTTACTTTTAGTGATAATCCAAATCTGCATTTATGTACTTCTTAAATTTTTTTCATATTTATTTTAAGTAAATATATTCTACTTTTTCACTTATCCGTTTAATTACTTTTTTAGTTATTTATTTCAAAGAAACAGACAACCAAATAAAGTAAGAAACATATACTCTTTTATGTAACGCAATCCTACGCAATAATTTGGATCAAATTTGAAGATAAAGACGGTGCAAATCTCGAAGTTGTTAAGAATTATCTTTTAAGTTTCTTATCAGCAAAGTAGCATATGTCCTCCACCTCCACAATTCTAGGCTTCAGTTTAATGACATCAAATTAAAATAATTAGATAAATTTATAATCCTTAGGTACTTATATTTCGAATTATTGTATGTTTACAGTTACTGTATGCTTATGGGCCGCGCCATAGCTCAAGCGGTTAGTATCTGGCTTCCCACCGCGACGGCCCGGGTTTGATCCCGGTTCTGGTCAAGTGAGATTTGTGGTGGACAAAGTGGCGCTGGGGCAGGTTTTCTCCGAGTACTTCGGTTTCCCCTGCCAATCTTCATTCCACCAATTGCTCCACAATCACCCTCACCTATCATCTGGGGCTGGTACAATGGGCCAGAAGTGGCCACAGTAAAAGAGACTTAGTCCCAGTCCTCTAGCAATAAAAAAATACTCTATGCGTATACAATGTGTCTCCATCCACGCAAATCAAATTGCATGCCACCACCTTCAGTAACTGATTTATTAACTCTTATCCAAAGCATCTTTGGTATGCTGTCTGTTCTTTAATAAAACCAAAATATTATTAGAAAGTAATTATCATTCTTGATATGGATTGTGATATAAAACTCGTTACTTACATTTATTGTTGTGTTGCCTGATGGTTGCCACACTCAGTGTTCTGCAGCACGATTCTGGAAAACCAATACATATTCATATTAAGAGCTATTACACAAAATGTACATTTTCTTTTCTCTGTAACCAATATCTACAATAAAATGTAAGAAATTTGTTGTTCTAACGACGTATAAATGTACATTCTAAAGTCTTCTGACGATGGTGGATGACACACAGAATTGCTGTTTTTTTTTTTTTAACTTTTTCCACCGTCCGGAATTCTAGGTAATAGAGGACACCACGTTTCGGAAACTGGATCTGTTTCCGTCTTGAAGTGAGAAAGGAAGACACCTACTCAGTTGGCCCCTTAGAAAGAGATAGAAAGTGGTTAAGTGATTGAGATTAGCTCTTTATAAGGGGCCCAACTGAGTAGGTGTTTTCATTTCTCCCCTGAAGAAGGAAACAGATCACTTTCCGAAACGTCATGTCCTCTATTACCTAGAATTTAGGACGATGGAAAAAGTCCAAAAACCCAGTAATACTGAACGTATAAAAGTATTACAAAATTTTGTATGAGACGTGTGTACGTGTCTGTACTGTTACGTCAGAGGATACGGATGCCGCGCAAAGAAGTCCTATGGATCACGCCCTCCACCTCCTTCCCTCCAGCGTACTCGCCTGCATTCGTCTAGGCAGTGGCAGTAACAAACTTAAGCCCTTTGGGCCGGTAGATATGGAAGTGGAACGGAATGCACAGCAATAGGCACTGAGAGGGAAAACTGAATCTTCTCCATCAAATCTATTGTGGTGCGGTAGCGTAGTTGGTTGAGGCACCATGCTACAAACCGGAAGGTCAAGGTTTCGAGTCCCGATGAGGTGGATTTTTCAATTTACCTAATCTTTCCAGCAGCACTATGGCCCTGGGGTCGACTCAGCCTCTAACAGAAATGAGTACCAGGAATCTTCCTGGGGGATTAAGGGCGGCCGTAGCTTAAGGCTGACAACCTTACCGCCATCTGTGGGAGCTTCGAGATCTCACAACCATATGGATCTTCACGGCCTGTAACAGGGATAGCTTTACCTTTATATCGGTATCATTTCAGATATTAGAATACTAATTTGAATTTTAAACAAAATATAGACTACTGATTATTTTTAATATTATTACGAAACAAGATCAATATATAAGTATTAAAGATTTAAATAAAATCGTCTGATATTTCAGCGGAAAAGAAAAGTGTCTAAAAACACTTCATCAAACTCAATAACTTTGAAAAACCTGAGAAGACAGCTACTTTCATACCAAGATGTTCCACTGCTAAACTAGGTAAGAAAGTAAAGCTATCACTGTAAGGGGCTGATGAGGCTCAGAGGGTTGTGAGACGTCGAGGCTTGCACATTTTCTAGACAATCGGTTCACAGATGGCGGTGAGGTTGCCAGCTATACGCGCCAGCCGCCCTTTACACCCAGGAATATTCCTGGTACTCTTTTCTGTTAGAGGTTCAGTCGACCCCAGGGCCATAGTGCGACTGGATGGATTAGATCAATTAAAAGATCCAATGTCCGAATCAGGAATCGAACCCGCTACCTTCCACCTCCTGGTAGAGTGCCTCAACGAACCAAGCTATTGCGTAAATTAATGAGAATTTCAACCGCTTCAATAACGTGTTTTTTCCTTAGCACTACAGCCCCAGTGGGCCTAGGCCTACCTCCATGAACTTCTCCGTTCACTTCGGTTTTTCTAGATCTTACACATTCGATAGGACACCTTGGGCGGGTGATCAGGTCGTCGCAAGGCCTCTACCTGTACACAAACACAGAAAAACGCACATACACAAACTAAACATCCATGCCCTGAGTGGGATTCGAACCCACGATCCCGGTTTCCAAGCAAGCGAAGACAGTGCATGCCCAATAACGAGTTTACTGAAGAAAAATAAATTTTCAGAATGTACACATTGATTTTTAATGTTAATATTCTCCTTCTAATTATCATCTTTTACTCGGAACTAAAACGTTGTTAAGCGATTTTCTTCGAACTGTATAATAATACAAAATTCGGCGTAAAAGCAATGCATATATATTCTCACATATAATTGACCCTGACTGTGTCACCTTGGAATTGAAATATATTTTTGGTAGATAGATTACTGTTGGTTTCTGAATACCGAGCAACAATGAGACCAGTCTGTCCGGAAAAGCAGGTTTCGAGGAAACTCATTCAGATTTCGGTGTTTTCTGGCGCTTGTACCGTTATTTTCCTGAAGATATAAACCGTTCAGATTTATCTAGGGAGAGGTTTCTCATAAATTACTGAAATTTACATAATATCATTGAAGTCGTTTCCGAGAAAATCGCCATTTTCTATACTCACCTGAAGGACTCATAATTATGGAACTGAGATATTCAAGATTATCTATGATCAATAAATAACTGAAGATTATGTACAAATAAGGCCCATCTAACAGTTCAGGCTTTAGTGAGGCCACATCCGTACATATATTTACGTCGATATAAGGCAAAGCGATGGCAAACTAAAACCAAATTTAAGTTAGGGGGTTGAAAATCTGTGAATCCATCAAAATTTCGAGGTCGATTTCTTTCACCAACAGAGTTCTTTATCATACATATAATAAGTACATAAAAAGGAAATAAATATTTATAAATGTGAAAATCAGTAAAATATAATTTATATAAACACACAATATTGCATTAATATATTAATTTCACAACCTTCTGGGATTAGATGTTATGTAGTCTGACAGATAAAAATATTTCGTAGGAATTGACTGCCTCCGTCTTCAGGCTATATCTTTCTTCTAACATGATAATGTGGCAGTAAATTTTCCCTAACTTTGTGCCTATCTACCACACAACATATCCTCCCATCTGGGGAAAGTGAATCCTCAGTATTCACCACTGAGAACGCCAGACTCCTTATGTTAATATATATTCGATGAGTCATGAGATGTTTAATTACGCATACATTAATGTGCCACAGTGTAAAAATGCTGAGTAACACTACAGTAGTAGACACTGTAAAACTTATGGGGAAAAAATAAATACACCAACATAATTACTGCACTGGATGCAACGCCTTTCTAAATAGCTACAGATCTCTTTATATATTGCAAAGCCATGCAATTTTATATAACAGGCAACATTTTATCTTACAATGTCAGTATTGCTACTCTCCTATCGGCAACTGTTTGCTATTCACTTAACGTCTGCACTTGAAGTCTGCCATCGGAAAGATAAATACATGGGCGACTTTAGAAATAAAATGAAACAAGTATAAACACAACCATTCAAAGATTGGAAGACTTGTGTGGTCTTCTTCGTAGTGCGAAAACCGCCCACTCCTATTATCCGAACCAAAAGGTAATTCATTAGTGTAAAGACTCAAAAATAGAAGAGAAACAATCAGATGAAACAAAGGCAAATGAGCATTAATGCATCCATTTCTAGCCTTGACGTGAGCATACAAAGTACAGGATCTGAATTGTATTTATAATAGAAAGCCCTTTTCTTTTCTGTTATAGACTTAATACAAGAACGAAGATGGCTGAAATTACTGATTAAAAAACGATAGAATGCACAACACACATTACGTAGAATCTGTGTGACAAGGTACAGAAGTTCGTTTTCATTTCAATTATGTTTAAGGCTTATTTTGTCTGCAGTCTGTATAATCAGTCATTATAGATTGTTATATCTCCGCGTAAGAATTCTCTTTGTCTTAGTCTCCATTATGGGAAGCATTATTTTTAAAAGAGTCAATTTCCTCCCCTTCTTAACCCTCCCCACTGCGTGGGAAATCTGTACTCGTTTAAATGTGATATTATTTTGAAGAACGTATACTGAATACATGAGGAAATACAGATGCTTACAGCCTTATTACTGCAGTCACTAGAATGTGCGTCAGATAAATAAAATAAGTTTATTAAAAATAAAAAATAGTTTCCACATTCCTTCTTTTCCTACTCTATTCAGTATTGAATAAATTAAGTTCTTTGAAAAGCAGGTTATCATAAAAAGTGAACATTGCTGTGATAACAAAGTAATTACTTGAGTTACTGTTACTTTATTTAGTTGATTACTTATCATTAGGAACAGGTTAATTTTCTTTTAATCCTAGACAATTCCATCACAATTATCTGATTATGGATTACCGTTTACAAGAAAGTACAGACTTTGGCCTGAGTTGCCACGTTATTGCTGTAGGGTGGGGTTCTCCGTTGCGCAACATGTCACAATATATTTATTAAATTAAATTCAGTATTTTATCCATTCTTCATACAAGAGGAAAAATGGGCTCATAATCTAGAGGTGGACGATATTAGTCCTCACGTTCCATCTTCGCAATTCCTCAGCTAATTTCAAGAGATTATGATACCTGTAGGACCGCTTCTGTCGTCTATTGATCAGAGTTCCTGGCTACAGGTTCAGTGATCCCGTGTTCGATTTCCGGCCTTACCAGATTTTCTGAGAAGTAGTGGGTCTGGAACTGGATCCACTCAGCCTCCTGAGGAAAATTGGGAGTTATTTCAAGGAAATAGCGGCTCCGGTCTAGAAAACCGAAACCCTCTATCCACTAAAGGTGGCACTAACTTCGCCGACAAGCGGCGGTCGCTCTGTCGGTATAGTTCGCTTGCGGACTGAAGGCAACGTAGATATTTTATGATACTTGTAGGTTTCTCCTCAGAATGAATAATTTTTATCTTTATGGATCCAGACGACGTACTTACCTTTACAGACTAGGCCGAATACAAAATCAAGAAATAAGACAGAAAATGCAGATGAACTTGGTACACCAGAAAGTGAATACCTACACGCACATGTGCTTACAGCCTTTAGGCAGAACTGCACCGGGCCGATTGCCAGAACAGATACTGAATTACAGATCAGTAGGATGGAAAGGTTTCGGCAGACCGAGAAGACAAATATGGAATTGAAATTAGGAACAAGTTGAGGAACGTAAATGATGGTAATTACGCTAATAATGATGACGTTACCACTTGAAAAACCTAGTCATGAACGAAGGATAATATCAAAATTGTAACAAGTGTGGGCCGG